ACAGAAAGAAATGCAGAATGTAAGGTTTTGATTGAAAAATAACACTAGCAAGCTTAATGTTGGAGGCAAGTCATATGCAGGAGAGGCTCTATTTCACAAGGAGACTAAATCATCAAGGACAGTCCTCCAGATTTGCACTTGGACAATGAAAAGTGTTCTCTCAGGGCAGGACCACACCCAGTCCAGCTTTTAATTTATAAAAAGAAAAAGCATAAGGAGGTATGTACTCTTAGAACACCAAAAAGAATGAAGGAAGCTGCTGATAATGTGGATGAATTCCACAAAGGTCCATCTCTAGCTGGCAGCTGAATTTGGAGGTGTCCTTCACCTTGTGCTATTTTGAGGGATGAAAGACACAACAGTGAGGGTCTTATTGGTTCTTCTGTGGTTTCATAGACCTGCCAGGGCCAGGTGGCATTCATTTAGGGGGCTCCCTGTATAAAGCAGGTCCTGACAGGCCAAGCAGCCCCGAAAAGCCATTTTGAGAAGCTGTGAAGGTGAAGCATGGTTGGCAGTGGAGACCCCAAAAAGACATTCGTGATGCCAGAGCGGTGAGGCATCTGCCAAGAAGACCTGCATACAGGGAGTGGTACCAGCACGAGAGAGAGGTGTGTTGCACGCAGCAAAGGTAGAAAGGCTGAGCTGTCTAAGCCCTTTGGAAATAAAGTCACAGAAGTCAGACATGGAGCTACTGGATTTGGTGTTTGTCCTGCTGGCTTTTTATCTTGTTTTGGTCCTGTATTTCCTTACAATGCCTCCATACCTCCTTTTTGGAATGGTAATGTGTATTCAGTTCCACTGTATGTTGGAAGTATGTAATTTGTCTTTTGATTTTATAGAGGCTTACAGTTAAGATATTTACCTGAGTCTCAGAATACACTTTGGACTGTGGACTTCTGAATAGCAGTGAGAATGATAACGACTATGGGGACTTTTAAAGTTGGACTAAATGCATTTTGCATTTTATTTGGTCATGAACCTATGGAGGCCAGGGGGTGTAATGTGGTGGTTTGAATGAAAATGTCCCCCATAGGCTCCAAGTATTTGGACATTTTGTCCCCAGATGATGGCACTGTTTTGGGAGGTTCTAGAAGGTGTACCTATCCTGGAGGAAGCACGTCACTGGGGGTGGGCTTAGAGAATTCTTAAGCCTTGCCATATTTCCAGCTGCTTTCTTGCTTCCTGTGCCTGTGTGATGATGTGAGAGCTTAGCTTCTACTTCTCCTGCTCCAGCCACCTCCAGCCACCTCCAGCCACCATGCCTCCCTACCATGACTGACTGTAATTCCCCTGGAACTGAAGCTCAAATAAACTCCTTCATATATATAGTAAAATTTGTAAGGAGAATGTAGGCAAACTACTGGGACTAGAAATATAGACATGGAAGATGCAAGGGCTACTTAAAAGTAAGGTACTACAGGGCCACACACCAAGTCCAGAGGAATACATGCCTTTAGAAAATAAAGAGGAAGAGAGGATATGAAGGAGGGAGGTAGGGATTCAGAGACGAGAGTGGTACACACTAGACACCAGGATGGAAGGAGACATCAAGATGGCAAAGTCAACACAATCCAGTCAACAAGACCACGACTGACTTTTTAGCCACTGGGTTTGAGGGAAAGACGTTACTAGTAATCTCCAAGGAAACAATTTTAGCAGTACAGGAAGGATAGGAATCAAATCTCAAAGGTGAGCAAGGGAATTGGAAATGAGGCTTTAGGCTATGGACAGTAAGTTTAAAGAGTAAGACAAGAAAAGGAAAAATAAAAATGAAACGTAGGTAAAACAGAGGTTTTTATTTGAGACAGGGCCTTACTGTGTAGCTCTGGCTGGCCTGAAACTCGACCAGGCTGGCCTTGAACTCACAGAGATCTTCCTGTCTTTGCCTCTCCAGTGCTGGGATTAAAGGTGTGCACCACTATACCTGGCTAAAATAGAGAATTAAAAAAAATTTTTTTATGTATATGAGTGTATTGCCTGAATGTATGTAAGTGCACCTGTGTCATGCAATGCCTGCAGAGGTCAGAAGAGGGCATCGGATTCCCAGAAACTGGAGTTAGGATAGTTGTTAGCCACCATATGGGTGCTGGGAATCAAACCTGGGTCCTCTACAAGAGCAGCCAGTGCTCTTAACTGCTGAGCCATCTCTCCAGCTCAAAGTAGAGAAATTTAGATATGGAAAAAATTTTTTAAAAAAGATTTTGGAATGAAACACAGAAAAAACACCTAGCGGACAATCTGTAAGTGTATAGAAGTTCAAACTAACATTTTCAGAATAACTTTTTCTTCAAATACATGTATATTTTCTATTCAATAGGAAAATATAAGGCAGCTATTTCCATTTTAAATAAGAAAAAGTGTGACTGGAAAGCTGAATGCTCTCAAAGGCCTTGGTATTGTCAATCCCCAGTATCCACACAAAACACACACGATTGCTTCTCACCTGGAGGAGCGTCCAGTTGGCTGCTGCTTTCTAGCATCCACTGCTCTTCCTGTTCCAAATGCGTGATTACCTCTGGCTTATAAAGTTGATACCCTAGTAATGGAAAAAATGTATGTCTTCAGTTTACAGGGAAGAAAAGCCTTTTTCAGAACCATTTCCAGTCAGATGTGGTGGCACATGCTTTAATCCCAGCACTTGGCGGGGGGGGGGCAGAGGCAGGTGGATCTTTGTGGGATCAAGGCCAATCTGGTCTAAGTAGCGAGTTCCAGGCCACCTGTGGCTACAGGGAGACCCTGTCTCAAAAAGACCAAAAACAAACAAAACAGAACCATATCCAGATCAGGCATGTTGACTCATACCTATCGTCCCAGCACTCAGGAGGCGAAGGCAAGAGGATTACCTTGAGTTTGAGGCCAGCCTGGACTATATAGTGAGACTTTATCTCAGAAAAGAAAAAGAAAACAAGAAAATCAAACTCAACACAGGCAAAGCCTTTCACTCAAGGAAAAAGAAAATCAAATGTCTGTCTCCAAAACTGGTCAGCATTCTGTATAGCCTAAACTACATTCACAAAAGTTTTGGTACCTTTTGCTACTTTAGGAAATAAATTGATTTGAATGGTCTCTCATCTCACAAGAACACCAGCTTACCTAGTGCTACCAGATTCCTGTAGTTCTCCAGCATCACGTTTTGGTAGAGATTCTTCTGAGCAGGGGTCAGCTGTGCCCACTCCTCTCTGGTGAAGTCCACAGCCACGTCCTTGAATGTCAGCAATTCCTGAACATCAAACACACCCCTCCTTGCTCATACCCAATTTGACAGATATTTTTTTTTAAATGAAGGGCTGTTCCAAAGCATCTGACTAGTTTTCATAGGAACAATGCCTTGGAGCACTCATATCTCATCAACTGATACAACGCTGAATTAAATTATAGAATCATAACAACAGGTTCAAACGGTTTTGAAAGGGCTACATTTTTTTTTTCTTTTTTTTGAGACGTAGACTCTCTGTAGCTCCAGCTGGCCTGGAACTCACTATGCAGACCAGACTAGCCTTGATTTCACAGAGATCTACCTGCCTCTTCCTCCTGAGTGCTGAGGTTAAAGGCATGTACCACCATGACTGGCTTATATGTATATATGTATGTGATGCTAGGGCTTGAACTGAGGAGCTCATACAATCTAGACAAGGGTTGTACCATTAAATTATACTCCTAGCCCTATACAATAGAATATTTTGTGTGTGCATGTAAGTATATATGTGTGTATATGTTCATATGTGTAGGTGCACGTATGGGTATAGGTATATGTGAAAGTCAGAGGACAACCTTGGGTGTTGTTCCTCAGGCACCATCACATTTGCTTTTTCAGACAAGGTCTCTCACTGGCTTAGAATTCCAAAGTAGACTGGATTTGGCCAGTGAGTCCCTAGAATCTTCTTGTCTCCACCTCCCCAGCAGTGTGATTAGTGTCAGCCACCAAACCTGACTTAAAAAAAAAAAAAGCTTTGTGTGTGTACATGCACACGAACATGTATATGCATGTGTATGGGGATGTACATGCTGTGGTACATGTATGGAGGTCAGAGAAAAACATGTGTCTGTCCTCACAGAGTCTCTCTTGTTGTCTGCTTCTGTGTATGCCAGGCTAGCAGGCCAGCAAGCTTCCAGGAATTTTTCTGTCTCAGCCTTCCATCTTGCCATAAATGCTCTGGTGTGTACCACTGCAGCTGGCTTTTTGTGGCTTCTGAGGATCTGAACCCAGGTTCTCAGTATACAGTAAGCATTTTACACATTGAGTCCTCTCCTCAGTCCAATGCCTGGCATTTTCACACGGATTCTGGGGCTCAAACTCATGTTCTCATGCTTGTAAAGCAAGCACTTTTTTGACTGAGCTATCTCACCAGCCATTATGTAATAGATTTTTTTTCCCCAGTACTGGGGATCAAACTCAGGGCCTTGTATATACCAAGCAAGCACCCTTCCCCAGCCCTATAAGATGATACACATTTACTTGTGGGAGAAGGTGTCCTTGGGAATATTTAATAATCCCATTAGTGGACTGGGGAGATGGCTCAGTGGGGAAATCACTTAGCACAAGGGACAAGGACCTGAGTTCAGATCCTAGCATCCACATAAGAGTGAGGCATGGTAGTAACATGTCTGTAACTCTAGCTCTTGGTAAGAGGAGGGGCACACAGAAGCAGATGGATCCCAGGGGTTTGCTGGCCAGTCAGTTCAACTGAAACAGCAAGTTCTGGGTTCAGTGAGAGAGTGTGTCTCAAAAAATAAAGTGGAGGTGCTGGAGACATGGCTCAGTAGTTAAAAGCACTGGCTGCTCTTGCAGAGGATCCAGATTTGGCTCCCAGCATCCACATGGCAGCTAACAACCATTCTTAACTCAAATTCCAGAGGATCTAACACTCTCTTCTGCTCTCTGTGGGCATTGCAAGCATGTGGTGTACTTACATGCATGCCTGCAAAACATTTATAAACATAAAATTTTAAATTTTAATTAATAAATTAAAAATAAAGTGGAAAGCAATAGAGGAAAATACTCAAACTTGACCTCTAACCTCCATATACACATACACCTGCACACACAAACTACACACAAACAAACAAATAAAATCTCATTATTTCCAAACAATCATAGTGACATGGGTTTCAGTTATTATGTTTACAGAGAGAACAGCAAGCATTTATATTTTGGCGACCTGTTTAAGTGAAGGGTTATTAAAAATAAAAATCTCTTAATTTATTTTTCTGCTTTACAGCATCTAGCACAGACATGAATCTGTGAAAATGAGTCTGGGAGGAGAGCTATAAAGGGGTGTACAAGGCAAATGAGAAACATTATGTAGAGATTATATCATCTGCCAGAAGAACCTCCTGGGCTCTGGTTTGGGGGACTTAGTACCTGAAAAGTGAAAAATAAAATCGAGGCCAGGCATGGTGGTACACATCTTTAATCCCAGCACTGGGGAGGTGGAAACAGGCAGATAACTTTGAGTTTGAGGGCAGCCTGTCTACATAGCGCGTTCCAAGCCAGCCAGAGCTACACAGTGAGACCTTGTCTTATTAAAAAAAAGTACCTACATTCTGAGAACTGTAATAGCAATTTAAAGGAGAGGAAACTGAATTTACCTGGCACCCTCCAACCTGTGATCCATCATTCATTTCTTTCTCCTCCATGTTCTCCTCCTGGCAAAGTAAAGCATTCTGAGAGGGCATACCCAGGAAAAGGAGAAAAGAAGCTTGTTCTTCATACATGGCATTACGGCTCATTTAAATCTTAGAGAGCATAAGTGTGACATCTTTGTCTTTCTTTTACTTTGTTTTTGTCTTTTTTTTGTCTTTTTGAGAAAGGGTCTCCCTGTAGCCCCAGCTGTCCTAGAACTTACTATGTAGAGCTGGCTGGCCTCGAACTCATAAAGATATGCCTGCCTCTGCCTCCCAAGTGCTGGAATTAAAGGCGGGCAACACCATGTCCGGCTTTGTTTTTGTCTTTTTAAAAGGCTTTTTCATTTTATGTGTATGAGTGTTTTGCCTGCATGAATGTGTATCATGTGTGTGCTGGTGTCTGGTGTCTTCAGAGGTCAAAAAAGGGCATCAGGGGCTGAGAGATGGCTCAGTGGTTAAAAGCACTGGCTGCTCTTGCAGAGGACCTGGGTTCAGTTCCCAGCACCCATAGAGCAGCTAACAACCATCCATAACTCCAGTTTGAAGGGATCCAATGCCCTCTTCTGACCTCCATGGGCATTGCATGCTTGTGGTGCACTTACATTATATGCATGCCAAACACTCATTCCCATAAAATAAAAATAAATTTAAAAAAGAAAGCATCTGTAAATGGAGTTATAGATGGTTGTTATCTGAAAATGGGTGCTGGGAACTGAACTCTGGTCCTCTGGAAGAGCAGCCAGTGCTCTAACTACTGAGAAATCTCTCCAGCCTAGTGTTTTTGTCTTTTTCAGACAGGGTTCCATGTAGCTCAGGGTAGGCTCAAACTCACTAGTAGCCAAGGATGGCTCTGACCTCCTGATCTTCTTGCTGTCCCCCTCCTCCAGTGATGGAATTTTACCTCACCCAGTTCATGCTTGCCTTTCCATTTCATTGGGGAATTAGATGTAGGATTTTCCTCTGTAGTAGAAATGTATATGTTCTATCATAGGGAAAGTGTAATGGTCTTTAGTCCTGGCTATATACTTGGGGAAATTAGAAAGAATGCCAAGGCTAAGCTCCTGGCTTGGATTTAATTGGTCTGTTGGTCTGTGCTAGGCCTGAGCAACAGTGTTTTATGGGGTTTTTTTTGGTCTTTTTGAGACAGGGTCTCCCAGTAGCCCCAGCTGGTCTTGAACTCGCTATGTAGACCAGGCTGGCTTTGAACTCACAGAGATCTGCCTGCTTCTGCCTCAGAGTGCTGGGATTAAAGATATGTGCCACCACACCCAGCTTGGGCAACAGTGTTTTAAGCTATAAAGTCTCCAAGTTAAGTAAAGACTTAAATTTCTGAGTTGAGGTGATGCACAGGACTTTTTGTTGTTTAGTTTTGTTTTTTGAGTCAGGGTCTCACAACATGGGCCAAGTTGGCCTCAAACTAACAAATCCTTTTCTCAGTCTTCCAAGTGCTGGGTTTACAGGTGTGAGAAGCCTCAACTGCAAAGAAACAGAGTACATTTCTTGCTCCTCTTCCTCTTCCTCCTCTTTTTGGCAGTGCTGAAGATCAAATACAAGGCCTTGCACATGCTATACAAACACTATCACTGAGCTACAGTCCAAGCTACTTACTCTTAATCTCCACAGAGGATAAGTTCACTCTTAGACTCCAGTGATTTTTCTTCTCTTCCCCTCTCAGGTAGTCCTTTATACAAAGGAGGTCGCCCTCTTCTCGTTTTTCAGAATGTCCATCTTCTCTTTTGAGTACTCAATCCCCCACCAGGATTTTTGTACTTCCTCGAAGGTCCTATGCTATAATGTTACCAAAGCTTTGTTTCTAGCACTGCATCTCCATCAGTAACAGAAGCTTCAGAACCTTGTCAGTTCTTGAAAGCTGCTTTCCAGAGCATTATTAAATCAGACACTCTGAAGTGCTGAGCACCTCAGGAGTCAATGGACACCCCCAGCAACAGTTTCTGCTTCCCAGGAATGTTTAGAGTCTTGCCTTATTCAGAATTGAGATGTACAGACTTTTGAAGATGTCATTACCCCCCTGCACACTTAAAGACATCACTCATTTATGCAGAAACTTTGCTATGATTATTCAAAATTGTGTTTTGGCAGAGATCTGGTAAGACACAATTTCAGGTTGATCACCTGTAATGACAGGCACCAGAGTGAGCAGAAGAAATTCAGAGATCTTGGTCACTAGAGACCTATGGAGTCTGTAAAGAGAGGAGCAAACCATTCATTCAAACAGAGCACAGCAAGCTGTGACATTCCTTTTTTTTTTTTTTTCGGTCTTTTGAGACAGGGTCTCCCTCCCTGTAGCCCCAGCTGTCCTGGAACTCACTATGTGGACCAGGCTGGGCTTGAACTTGCAGAGATCAGCCTGCCTCTGCCTCCTGAGTGCTGGGATTAAAGGCATGTACCACGATGCCTGGCAACATTCTTTAAAATAATAAAATTGTACATCTTCTTTCATTTTAATTTTTTTCATTTATTATTTTTATTTTATGTGTATGAGGGTATTGTCTGTATGTAGGTAGGTGCACCCTTGTCATGTGATTGCCAAGAAGGTCAGAGGAGGGCATCAGATCCCCTGGAACTGGAGTTGAGGAAGGTTGTCAGCCGCCATGTGGGTGCTGGAAATTGAACCCAGGTCCTCTGCAAGAGCAGCAAGAACCCAGGTCCTCTGCAAGATGGCTCTTAACTGCTGAGCCATCTCTCCAGCCCCCATCTTTCTTTTATTTTTTGAGACAGGGTCTCCTCTGTAGCCCAGGCTGGCCTTAAACTTGACCATCCTACTGCCTCAGCCTCCTCAGTGCTGAGGTGACAGGCATGAGCCACTGTGCTTTAGAAAGTATGATTCACACATTACAAAAACCAGAGGCCTATAGATGTTATTAACTGCAAGAAATTTAGTCTCAGCCTTTTCTCTCCCTTTTCCCAGAATAGAAAACACAGTAGTCTTTCTCTATTTAATTGAAAGACCAGAAAAAGTAGACTTTTTTTTTTTTTCTTAAAAAGGGGAAAAACTAGGGCTGGGGTTATAACTCAGTTGGTAGAGTGATTGCCTAATATTCATGAAGCCTTGGGGGTTCCACCCCCAGCACCTTAGAAACTGGGGTTGGTAGTGCATGTCTGTAATAACACTCAGGAGGTGGAGGCAGGAGGATCAAGAGATCAAGATCATCCTTGCCTATATAGTGAGTTTGAGCCCAGCCTGGGATACATAAAACTCTGTGTCAAAAAATGGAGAAGGAAAAAGAGAAGGCAGGAGGAGGGAGAAAATAGGGCTGGAGAGATGGCTCAGCGGTTAGGGAACATTGGTTGTCCTTGCAGAAGACTCAGGTTTGAATCCCAGCACCTACATGGCAGCTAACAACTGTCCATAACTCTAGTTCCAGGAGATCCAACAGCCTCTTCTGACCTCTGCGGGCATTGCACAACACAGGTGCACTTACCTACATGCAGGCAATACACACCATACACATAAAATAAAAATAATAATTTTTTTAAATGGGAGAAAATAGCAATTTCAATAGAATTAGAATTTCAATAGAATTTCAATGGAATAGATAAGGAAGCCATTCCCTGGCCAAGACATGACACTAATCTAACAATTCTGGATTAATTTAAAAGCACTTTAGAAGTCAGGCATATTGGTGCATACCTTTAATCCAGCATTCAGGATGCAGAAGCAGGAAGATCTCTGTGAGTCTGGAGCCAGACTGGTCTGCAAAGTGAATTTCTGGCCATCCAGGACTGCATAGTGAGACCCTGTCTCAAAGGGGAAAAAAAGTGTTGGGTGAGTTCAGCAGGTAAAGGTACCTGCTGCCAAGCCTGCTGAACTTACTTCTGTAAATTGACCTTTGACTTCCACACATGGGCTATGACACATACCCCCCCAAAAAAAGAATAAATAAATACAATAAAAACAATTTTGGGAACTAGGCTTTTATTTTACCACACATAAGTTCTGAAAAAGGTCCTACTGTCAGAAGAGCCAGAGAAAAATTAATAAAAATATCCTTAAGTTCCAAAATCAATTACTCCAAAGCCAATCTGACAATAATTAAAACTTCATTAATCAAGCCAGATAGAACAGGGTCTTTTCTTAATGCATATGAACTGAAAAGGACTCGAGGTTATTCAGCTAACCCAAAGTGTGCTAAATAGTACTTTGCTGTGTTTTACAAAAGGGACCACAAAAAGAAATCTGGAAACAATTGGGCTTCAGCCAGGTATGGTGGTGCACACCCATAACATCAGCATTTGGAGGCTGAGGCAGGAAGACCACTCCAAGTTGAGGCCAGACTTGGGTACATGGCAAGTTCCAGGCCAGTCAGAGGTATATAGTAAGATTCTGTCTCAAAAACAAAACAAAAATGTTGGAGCTAGAGAGATGGCTCAACAGTTAAGAGTGCTTGCTGCTCTTGTAGAGGACCCAAGTTTGGTTCCCAGTACACATGTTGGGCTGCTTACAACCACTTGTAACTCCAGCTCTAGAGGATCTGACATCCTCTTCTGGTCTCCAAGGGTACCTACATTAATGTGTGCATCCTTCATCACATAATTAAAAAACAAATCTCAGAAAGTGCTGACGTCAACAAAGTTAAATAAGTTTCTTTGTTGCAACTCTTAAGAGATTTTGTATGGTGATGTACACTGTAAAATCCAGCAAAACCCACATGGGATTGGGGACATGCTGATCTATAGATGGAGATATAGATAGATGATAGTAATGTTTTCCAAATATATTTATTTTGAATAAATTTTTATGGCTTTTTACTTTAAAATTTTTAATATTGTGTGTGTATGATGTGTGTGTGTGTGTGTGTGTGTGTGTGTGTGTGTGTGTGTGTGTGTGTGAGATCATGTGCCATGGAACACAGGGAGCTGGTTCTCTCCTTCCATCCTTGCATTGGTTCCAGAGATTAAACTTAGTTCATCATGCTTGTGTGGGCTCCACTTTACCTGCTGAGGCATCTCACCAGCCTAAGTATTTATGTCTTTGTTCATGTCAAGTGTGAAAAGATTTTTTACATCGCACACCTAGTGAGATGCCTCATTTACACTTTCCTTGTTCAGGAAGCACTTTTTTCTCACTGTAACTGTCTAGTATCCCATCTTAACATCTTCTGGTGTGTGATGTTAATATTAATGAAGTCAGGAACCTGGTCTGTTTATTTACTGTTCTATTTTCAATGCCTAATGCCTGGCACATAGTAGGTACCCAGTAAATATTTGCTAAATGAATAACTGAAAAGGTTCTAGTGTTAGCTTTTTATTAAAGAAAAAATTGAGAGAAGATCTTATGAGGCCTAGGCTGGCTACAGTGACAGAGAAATGCACTCTATATATAATAGAAAGACACTTTAGTAAATTATAACACAATGTGTCAATGCATCAGCAACTGCACCTTTAACCTGGTCTAGTAAATGGTTCAGTTCCTCATGTATATTATCAATGATTCCATTTTGAGCGTTGATCCTACCGCTAGTTTATTATGGTTTATATGTTATATCAAACATACAAAATGATGCATTTCGGAAAAAAAAGTATAAGCGTATCAGTTCTCTAGATCTATTGTACTGCTGTTATGTATTTATTGTTATTTTTGTTTTTTGGAACAGTGTCACAGGTAGCCTAAGTTGGCTTCAAATGTATTGTTAACGTTCATCTGACCTGACACAGAAAAGCAGCACGGCACCTGTTGGCGATATGAATGTTTTGTCTGCAGAGTTAGCATGGAGCAGCAGGAGGGTTGCACTGAGACCCCAAAACACCAAATACATCAGAACCAGGCAGCGGTGCAGGCTTGTAATCCCAGCAGTCAGGGTGGCTGAGGCCGGAAGATAGCAAATTCAAGGCCAGGCTGGGCAATTCAGTGAAGTCCTATCTCAAACCTAGAAATCAAGGAAAATGGGGGGGGGGGGGGGGGGGGG